ATTTTCATAATGTTACGACCTTATTCTCGTAATGTTACAACTTTATACTCATAAGTTTACGACTTTATTCTCGTAATTTTAAGGCTTTATTCTCGAAATAGAGGAAAATCTCTAGCCTGGCCCTAACACTCCGTCATACTGCTGAACTTCACTACAGGTCTATTTTATTTTTTTTATCTTAGTGATATATTTGTTTTATAGCCGGTTAGTGGGGATAGATATCAAGTTTTAAACATCCTCTATATTCTTTTATTCTATATATTAAACATCATGCTAATATCTGCATAAACATATTACAGTTAATGTTTCTTAACTGAACTGGATTTAACATTCCAAAATAGAAAAGTCATCCACATTTATCAAGACTTAAGATGATAAAAAAGTAGCTGAATTATTACTTTGCATAGTAACTTTGACCATTCAGTAACTGAGTCCCTAACCTGAGTACTTTTTGGGAAAAGGAACTAGTCGCATGTTCTTCACTGAGCTTCACAGAGTTCCTAAAACCATAGAAAAACCTCAGTCCAACATGAACTGTTAATGCTCCTCTGTGGTTTTCACACCTGGATGAAAATCATTCTCAACCAATTAATGCTGAGGAGCTTTAAATACATGGAAACCTTCAGAGGGGCCCCTGGTGGTTCCAGCGCTCCTGCAGGGATCATGCAGGGTCATGAGATGTTACTGTTCTGCTTGATTAAAATCTGACAGGAAGCATGGCAGCTGCAGCTTTTGATCAAAGTTTTTTTATCTAACCAGAACCTTTTTCTTACTTCAGGTTTGGATTCACGGTTCTCCTCTTTCTGCTCCGGTCTCTGGTCTCCATGAATTTTAATGTGGTTTACATTTACACAGCTGAGGTAAGTCATGTCTTAGAAGACTTTAATGTAAAGACTTGCAGTCTTACTGAAACATTAAGGTCTGCAAGAAAGAGTACTGCAAACACACAAAGGACCATATTTTTGTTTTGTTTTTGTGAATAAATCTTTCCCCTGCTCCCGTTTAGTCAGCCAGGTGCCTTAGAGGCATGCTATAGGAGCCACAGTTATACTTAAGCATTATATAACAAAAGCTTTTGTTTTTCTATAGCAGGGGTTCCCAAACATTTCAGCCTCTTACTCCAGAAATAACACAATAGGGACTGGCAACCCTAAAAATGCATATTTAAATAATTATTTTAGTTATAAGTTATAAAAATATGTCTTTAACTATTCAAAGCGACATCTATTTATCCATTGTATATTAAATAATTTAAAGGTGTGTGTGTGTGTATATATATATATATATATATATATATACACACACAAACAAATAATAAAGGAACACTTTGTAATCAGAGTATAGCATCATGTTAATGAAACTTCTGGGACATTGATTTGGTCAGGTAAGTAGCAGAGGGTGTTGTTAATCAGTTTTAGCTGCTTTGTTGTTAATGAAATTAACAACAGGTGCACTAGAGGGGAAACAAGAGACGACCATCAAAACAAGAATGGTTTTACAGGTGGAGGCCACTGACATTTTTTCCCCTCCTCATATTTTCTGACTCTTTTTGACCAGTTTTGCTTTTGGCTAGGGTCACTGTCACTACTGTTAGCATGAGGCGCTACCTGGACCCTACAGAGGTTCCACAGGCGGTCCAACTCCTCCAGGATGGCACATCAATACGTGCCATTGCCAGAAGGTTTGCTGTGTCTCCCAGCACAATCTGAAGAGCATGAAGGAGATTCCAGGAGACAGGCAGTTACTACAGGAGAGCTGGAAAGGGGCCGTAGAAGGTCTACAACCCATCAGCAGGAGCGGTATATGCTCCTTTGTGCAAGGAGGAGCAGGAGGAGCACTGCCAGAGCCCTACAAAATGACATCCAGCAGGCCACTGGTGTGAATGTCTCTGACCAAACAAGGGCCAGACGTCCTCTAGTGGGCCCTTTGCTCACTGCCCGGCACCGTGGAGCTCAATTGGCTTTTGCCAGCATAACAACGGAATTGGAAAGTCCACCACTGGCGCCCTGTGCTTTTCAGAGGAGAGCAGGTTCACCCTGAGCACATGTGACAGACGTGAAAGGGTCTAGAGATGCCGTGGAGAACGTTATGCTGCCTGTAACATCGTTCAGCATGACCGGTTTGGTGGTGGGTCAGTGATGGTCTGGGGAGGCATATCCATGGAGGGACGCACAGATCTATACAGGCTAGACAACGGCACCCTGACTGCCATTAAGTATGGGGATGAAATCCTTGCACCCATTATCAGACCCTATGCTGGTGCAGTGGGTCCTGGGTTCCTCCTGGTTCACGACAATGCCCGGCCTCATGTGGCGAGAGTATGATACCATTGATTGGCCCCCATGCTGGCCTGACCTAAATCCAATAGAACACCTCTGGGACATTATGTCTCCATCCATCTGACGCCGCCAGGTTGCACCTCAGACTGCTCAGGAGCTCAGTGATGCCCTGGTCCAGATCTGGGAGGAGATACCCCAGAACATGCATACACGTACGTGGGGGGGCATACAAATAACTGAATACCATTTTGAGTTGCTGCAATGAAATTTCAGCATAATGGACGAGCCTGCCGCATCATTTTTTTACTGTAATTTTTGGGGTGTCTTTAAATTCAGCCCTCTGTAGGTTGATAATTTTCATTTCCATCAAATGATGTGGCATCCTGTTGTTCCTAACACATCACCCAGTCCATATCAGTAGAAATAAACAGCAGGATTTTTTTGCCCCATTGAGATTTGATGTGTTTTCAAAGTGTTCCTTAAATTTTTTGAGCAGTGCATATATACATATATGTATGTGTATATGTATAAGTGTATATATAAATAGAAAATTTACAGACATTTATTGTCTTACATTTAGAAATCTGCACACACATGTATATATTTCTACAGAGGGTAATCTTTCCCTATATGGACACTGCTCTCCATGGTTATCTCCACACACACCCTGATCTTTTTGGTACTTTAATGACCCTTTGTTTCCAGTAGGGGGGGGTGCTTTGCTGTATTAAGGGT